TAACTAACTGCAAAAATATAACCGTATAGAAGATGATTTGTGCTCTATTTTTTCCCTTTTATTATTGGTTTGCATGCCTCTTTCCCCTCTGTAGCAACTCCTAAAACTTAAAAGTGTGCACTTATCTTTCCATATTTTCCTCCGTACCCATATAATCCTACACAGAAATCGACATCTACATACACTCAGAGGTGGATAGACACACATAGATACCTACACAAGATATGGGTATTTGGGGGTCATTGTTGATTTTACAAAATCGTGATCATATTACACATTTGAAGAAACTGCCCCCTGGTATTCTCATTCAACAGTAAATATCTCACGGGAGTAGCTTAAAGTCATGTAGCCTAGGTCTGATTCAGGGGTTGGCAAACTATGGCTGATGAGCAGAATCTAGCCTGTGCTTGTTTTTGTAAGTACAGTTTTATTAGAACACCGCTACACCCAATCCATTTTTACATTGTTATGGCTGCTTTCACATGGAAATAAAAGAGGGGGTTCATTGGCACCATAGAGACTGGATGGCCTGCAGAGCCAAAGACATTTAATATTTGGCCCTTGACAGAAAAGTTTGCCAACCTTGGTCTCATTCATTCTTTATAATGGTATGCATTTTATTGGCAATATTAGGTCCATTTCACGGAGGGAGAAATTGAGGCTCCATGGCTTACAGTCAGTAAGTGAAGAGCCAGGACAGGAACTTAAAGCCCAGGGTGTGAGTCAGTGGGAGCTGAAAGGAAGGAGGAAATTTGGGAGGCTTTGGAGGTAGAAGAGAGAATGTCTAGGGCCTGAGTGTGTGTCTGTGGTGTGGGCGGTGATGAGCTGAGGGAGCAGAAAAGATGGGCTCTGGGACAGTGATTCCCCACCTTCTGAGGGCATCAGGGTCACCTGGAAGGCTCACTAAGCCACACGTGGATGGGCTCCACCTCCAGGCTTTCGGCAGGTGTGGGTGAGGCATTGGAATTTTTTTTTTTTTTTTTTTTTTTTTTTTTTGCGGTACGCGGGCCTCTCACTGCTGTGGCCTCTCCTGTTGCGGAGCACAGGCTCCGGATGCGCAGGCTCAGCGGCCATGGCTCACGGGCCCAGCCGCTCTGCTGCATGTGGGATCCTCCCGGATCAGGGCACAAACCCGCATCCCCCACATCAGCAGGCGGACTCTCAACCACTGCGCCACCAGGGAAGCCCATATTCACGGAATTGTGAAAGCATCACTGCAGTCAACTCCAGAATATTTTCATCACCCCAGAAAGAAACCCATCTGCTTTAGGCATCATCCACCCAGCCTTAGGCAACCGCCAATCTGCTTTCTCTGCATTTGCCGGTTCTGGCCATTGCATATAAATAGAATCATACACTATGTGGTCTTTTGTGACTGGCTTCTTTCAGCATCAAGTTTTCAGCTTCATCCGTGTTGTAGCGTGTGTCAGGACTTCATTCCTTTTTATGGCAGTCTTTTTCTTTTCTATTTGTTTAGTTTTATTGTCTGTCTCCTTAGGAAGGGATGTTTCATGAGAGAAGAGATTTTGAGGCTTAAACACGGGGAGGGGTGTGTCCCGTGCCACACATCTCATCTAGAGCCCAACCTGAACGGGAGCCCGGGTCTCCTACTCCATGGTCGGCTCCCTGCCACCCTCGGCAGCACAATGCTTTGTGTGTCCTTGAAGCCCAATCAATTACATCCGTTGATTGATTATCTCAGGCCACTGGGCAGCGTCAGAACTCGCTCAGGCTGCTTAGGAAGAGACCTACGTGCATCCCTGTTGTTTAGGGGGAAAGTTTGAGTATTGAAGTACCAGAAGGCATTTGTTTGACATTCACAGAGCCTTGCCTTTCTTCCCTGGCGGGATCTTGAGTAACACTGTTAGTAAAATGAATAAATGTGTAGAGCTGAACTCCCCCACCGTCGACTGTCCTGACCGATCGTGCATACACACATAAGCAGGTCCTTCCCCGAGACCCTGCTTCTTCTCATCACTTGAATGCAGAGTAGAATGATGCAGTCTTATTTTTTATTTTATTAACATCTTTATTGGAGTATAATTGCTTTACAATGGTGTGTTAGTTTCTGCTTTACAACAAAGTGAATCAGCTGTACGTATACATATATCCCCATATCTCCTCCCTCTTGCGTCTCCCTCCCTCCCACCCTCCCCATCCCACCCCTCTAGGTGGTCACAAACCACTGAGCTGATCTCCCTGTGCTATGCGGCTGCTTCCCACTAGCTGTCTGTTTTACATCTGGTAGTGTATATATGTCCATGCCACTCTCTCACTTCATCCCAGCTTACCCTTACCCCCTGCCCCGTGTCCTCAAGCCCATTCTCTGCGTCTGCGTCTTTAGAATGATGCCGTCTTATTACCACGTTCCCCACAGCCCCCGAGAACCACGTTAGTTTAACCTGGACCTGGA